GCTCTGCAGACTGGAGATCTGACCCTCACTCTGAAGGATCCCAGACTGGGAGACAGCGGCATCTATATCTGTATCGTCTACGACAATGATGGAAAAATACTGAGACGGAAAGTAGTGACGCTCACTGTGAGAGGTTAGTAATGATAACTCATTGCTGAGGTCTGTGAAAGCTTCACAGCACTGAAGAAAAACATTGCAAAGATCATTAGTACTTTACAGATGTCAGTAAATGAATCACTTGATCAAGCAACACGTCACTGAGGTCAATTAAAACAAGCAGAGGTCACTAAACACATCACAGCAGTCATTGAATGCATCACAGGTCAGTAAACTTACTCAATAAACACATGAGCTCTGGTAAACTGACCAATGTTCCTCTCTGCTCTTAGTCTATAAGGTGGAAAAGGTTTCTGTGGATGAGGGAAAGAGGTTGGTAGTTCTTCCCTTTCATGCAACACCCTCCCTCCTCTCTGAGAGCATCACTGTGGAGTGGAAAATCTCAGACGTAGAAGACACGATGCTCTACAAATATCAGAGAGGCTGTCACATACCAGCAGAGGACCAGGTTTATGGAGGCCACACAGAGATGAATAAAGATCCATTAAAAACTGGAGACCTCAGTCTGACCATCAGGGACCTCCGTCTGACTGACGGTGTTTATACCTGCACCATCTATGATGAGAATGGAGAGAGGCTGCAGCAGAAGGTGGTGGTCCTCATAGTCAGAGGTGAGTGAAAGCAGCTGCTCTATCCTCAGTAGGAACAACCTTTGGTTTCTCTGGACTCCTGATGTTCTGCTCTAATCCTCAGATTTACAAATGGAGATTGTGGAGGTACCAAAGGGAGAAGCATCTGTGACACTTCCCTTTAAAATCCAACCTCCTGAAGAAGAAGACCTAATGATCAGGTGGATACATGCTGGTTCCAAACAATCTGAGGTCATCACCTTTGAGAATGGAAAACTTCAAGTTTCCAAATATAGCAAGCTTTATCGCCGTCACATTAAGATGGATAAAGACCTGCTGAGTTCTGGAGACCTCAGTCTGATCCTGAAGAATCCTGGTTATAAAGACAATGGCCTCTACAAATGTACCGTCTACAGTGGCCAGAAGATCCAGCAGGAGAAAATGGTGACGCTCAGTGTTAAAGGTGAAGACGGGTTCAGTCAAGTTCAAGTCTTTATCCCAGCATTAGCTTTAGGTGTAGTTTCATGACACGATGGATGGATGAAGTTCTTCAGTCTGAGATGTTCTCTCTGGTTTATCTGCAGATCCTCTGGACAGCAGCTTCATGGAACGACTTCAGTCCCACAGGAGGAACAGGAAATCATCCGCTTCATCTCAGGAGTAATTGTCCTTCTGTTCTTCCATCTTACTAATAAATGTGTGATCCAGCTGGGCTGAGCAGGGAACCAGGTCTCAGTGCAGAAGCTTCACCTGGAGCTGCTCTAAAGCACTCAGTGGGATCCATTAAAGGTCACCAGTGTAGACCTTTACTGCCCACCATGGAGTGGTGAACACCTTCTGGAGATCCCAGACTCACTGTATCACNCTTTACTGCCCACCATGGAGTGGTGAACACCTTCTGGAGATCCCAGACTCACTGTATCACTGATACGGTGGCTGGGATCTCAGTGGGATGTTAGAAGGTCTTCTGTCTGCTGACCAAGCTGAATGAAGAAGAGAATCCAGATGATGAAGCTGCCATCATGGCGGCTGACCCAGAAAAGTCACCACTTGGTTCCTGTCAGGATGGACCTGCTTCAGGACCTTCATGCTGCAAGGCCACAGTGCTACAAACGTAGCCACCATGCAGCCCCTAGATCAGCCGTGCCCAAACTGGGCCCTCTATGTCATAGTTGTATTTCTATGTCCTGCAGGATTTAGAGGTTTCTTTGCTTCAGCTGATTTCCATTGCTAGTTGATTAGCAGGCATTGGCTGATCCACAATCACCAGAATCAGCTGTGCTGAAGCAAACGAGCAGTGGAATCCATCAGGACAAACACCCCTGAAGACTGACATGGCATGGCTTCCCTAGTTCAGCATCTTCTCAACCAATCTAGTCCCATTAAGTTGTAGATTTTCTACCTTCTTACAGAAGTTCAGCTCCTGGACCAGTTCTATCAAACCAACCTAGAATTGGTGAAGAGAACTTAGGTCTCCCTCACCCTGACAGAACATCTGGACCTGAAGGAACCACACAGAACCACAGACCCAACGGTCTGAGCTGAGTCTGGGTTGGCAGATAGAACTTTGGAGCTTGGTTAGAAGGTAGATGAAGCTCTATGAGGTCTAAACAGACCAACAGGACCATTCATCAGTCAGTCTGGTCCATTTCATCCAAAGGTCATCATCAGAACTTGGTTCTGAACGG